GGGGACGAGACAGGAGGCGGAGGTCGGTCCCGCTGACGGAGAGCGCCGGACCCGGAGGAAAACTTGTCCTGGCCGGGGCCACTGGGAAGCTGGGGGCAGAGCTTGTCGCGCCCGGGGCCATTGAGGGGCTCGGGTCCGTCCCGGGAGGGGACGAGACAGGAGGCGGAGGTCGGTCCCGCTGACGGAGAGCGCCGGACCCGGAGGAAAACTTGTCCTGGCCGGGGCCACTGGGAAGCTGGGGGCAGAGCTTGTCGCGCCCGGGGCCATTGAGGGGCTCGGGTCCGTCCCGGGACAGCGGCTTTCCGGCCCCGGCCCGGCTCTCCTTCAGCACCCGGGCGGCGGAGCGCTCGGGTCGCCAAGGGACTGGTTCTTCGTGGGAAAGGGGGGATCCTTAATGAGCATAGCCGGAGCGGTGCTGGGGAGCAGCGCGGAGTCGCAGGGGTCGGCAGTCGCACACAGCTGCTGACCTACAGTAACAAGGAGCGATCCGATGTCCCCAATTCTGAGCTTGTCCGAGAGAAGGGGGTGTTCAGATAACAGTTAGGGTATCGCTCAATGAAACGCTTGATTTCCAGAGGTCACAGACGTCGTGCGGGGTTTTCCGCTCCAGCTTCCTCCCAAGCGGTTCCCTGAAATCTGCTGTGGTGGCGGGCTCCTGGTCACTGGCGGCCTCCCTTCTGCTTGGGGGTGGGCCAAGGTCATCCAGGGGTATCCCCTCTCAGATTTGAGCATGTAGGACTTTAAAGACTTTTGTCTTCACAAAACTAATATATGGGAAAACTAGAAGCTAATGCCTTCTGCAGCTGGGGATGATTTTGAACTGCACTGTATTTGTTTAGTGCTTGGACATTCTCATGAGTTTCTTCGAGCTTTTGTGTCTTCTTCAGGGGTCTTGCATCAAAAATGAAGCATTAGCTGTAACTTGAAATAAGTTATCTCAGCAACCTAGGAGTTAACAGGGAAAGAAAATAATTTTCTTCTTATATTTCTCACTTCTGCCAGGACACATTCCTTTAGTAAGATGAGCATGAGCCCGGAGGGCAGGACCAAGGCTTTTCCCCAAAAAAAGCTTTTCCAAGTAGCAATTAATAGCAACAGTGACTGCAGTGAACCAGAAAATTACATAAACCATGACTGATGGCACGCTTCTCTTTTCTGTATTTAAAGGCAATCCAGAACTACCGACAGCAGTTAATATAACTTGGTCTTCCATCAATTTTAAAACCATACTACAGTGGCAACCAAAACCATCGGGTTACTTCTATACAGTAGAAATACATGGGTAAGTAGATAACGCCAAGGTGTGTCCATTAATGGCAACTGAAAAATATGCAAATAAAGTGTGTTTGAATGTTTCTGAGACTATATGTAACAACAGGAAAAGAGCCCAAACGTGAGGAATTAGGAAAATTGCCAAACCAGCTGCTTGTTCTTCTTTATATCCAACTAAATATCAGATCCAGGCTTCTGGTTTTGCCCGCTTCAGAAATCAGAGTTGAGCTTTAGGTCAGTATTTCAGTTCTGGGGCTCAGTGCAGGCCAGCAGCACTGCAGATCTAGGCCAGGATATTTTGAAGCAGTTGAAACTCAGGTCTGACATACCACGTATTAGATACGACTTCACATTTTTACATCTTTCAAGGTGTCTGGACTGAGTGGTTTGTGTTTAGTCTTGGGAGGTGTCTGATAAATATGAGTCTGCATTTTATTCTAATTGGTGAATCACAGTCAATGAATAATTTGTCCTGCTGGGTGATACTAAAAATTACCTTTGTTCGTCTACCTCTGTGGAGACTTCCTCTGTCATCAGGTTTTATGTAAGCTATGAAATACTGTGGACATAAACAGTAGCCAGCTTATGTGAAGTGTGTAACACCTCTTTCAATATTGTACAAAAACTTCCCTGAAGTTCAGTAAGCAATCTGTGCTGGTCTTAGCTCCCATATTAATTCACAGACCATTATTAAACATGCCCCAAAGGGAAACTGCATCATCAACTCTCCTACATATTAATGAAAATATGGTACTGTAGTCTCCTGTCTGTAAAAGTGGCATAGAAATGAGAGCTCTCTCGTGACTAATGGATGAAATAACAGTGCAATGGCCTAATGCGCTCTTTTGTTCTTTAAGGGAGCGATTAAATTAAAGTAGACTGAAAAGCACGTACTTAGCAGAAGGAATTTTATGAAATTTAGGAATGTGGAGTTTCTTTCCAACCATTTGTGCTTTCAAAATCCTGAAGTCTGTTTGCCCAAGATTCAGCATAGAATCAGTTGTAGTTCTGACATGGAAGTGCTTCTTTAGACAGGTTGCTCTTATGGATAAAGTGTGCTTAAATGTTTGCTTTCTCATCTATGTACAGGTACAGAGTATATTTGCCTGATCACAAAGATCAAATCTCCTCTGTCCCTTTTAAACGCATCTGTAGGACACTATCGCCAACATCACTGTGGCATCATGAGAAATCTGGTGAAGTGAGAAGGGAGTTCAGGCAACTCTTAAACCAAAGTTTAAGGAAGTTTTTAGGAGGAAAACTCACGTGTTAATTTCCAAACATTCTTTCAGCTGAGATCACACAATTCTTCTTTTCCTTAGTTCACCAGCAAAAACAGTGAAAAGAGTTGAAGCAGTAATATCTAATCTGGGTGGGTTTTTTTTCATTATTTCTTATTAGGAAGTAAAATGAGGAATTAACACTTTTTTCCTGGTTTCGTTATTATTTCTCAAGTAAATGGACCTGCTTTCTATAATTGAAAAAAAAACAAGAGAAGTGAATGGGTCGTGGGTTTTGTCAGTATTTTTTAATTGTAAAATTCTGCAATCAAAATTGCTGCTGCTGTTGTTCTCGGTGACATTTGCAGCTGCACAGATGCAAGAACAGGTGACATACATGAGGAGACACTGTTATCACATTAAACTATTAATACTGGTGTCAGCTTCCTAGGACAACTGCTGTTTAAGGCAATAGTTTTCAGATGCATCAGGGACAACACTTTCAAAATGATTTCTGCATCTTGTATTTTTTTAAATAAGTGAACTGTAGAGAAATCCAAAATCAGAACTGCATACAGTTTCTATTCAAGTCATGTAAAATATTGCCATTTTAATTCATACATGTATCAAATGACATATTTCTAGAATTAATACAGCTCTTATTTGATTTGCTTTAATCTATTTTGAATTCTGAAATAAAGCTGTGCATGATAGTGTAGTCTGAGGTTTTTCTCTTCTCCTTTTCACTCTAGTACAGTTGCAAGACTTTGCCACTGGATGAGGGAAACCTATACAGTTGGAGGGGAAAACATGTTTTTTAACATACATAAATACATAAAAGTCTGCTTGGGAAGTATTGACGCTCCTTCCTTTTTCTTTTCAGACAGACGTCTGACACCAAAAAAAAATGCATACTGACAACAGAAACCGAGTGTGACGTTACTGATGTGCTCAGGAATGTAAAAGAGACCTACACAGCACACGTACTGTCTGTAATGTCCTCGGGGATGGACAACTTTGAAGAACCACCTTTTGCAGTCTCTGAAAAATTTACACCTTATAGTCAGAGTAAGTAGGATTGCCGGTTAAATCTTATCATAAACTTCCTTTGGGATGACTTCCATTGACTTAAACCAGGCTTGACTGAGCCTGTGGACTCTTAGCGCAGCCATGCTGATACCTGAGTAGACATTCTGGCATAAAGCTTTCCCTGTTGTAGGGGCCTGTGTAAGATTTTCGTTGCCGTTTGTTCCTCACTGCAGTGAACAGACCATTTTATTAACATTATGTCCTAGATGAAGATTATTTGTTAATAATCCAGGATTTCACTGTATTGCTTTGGCTCTGCAAACTTATAATAGATTTGAGGAGGGAAGGGAGTGGAAGGAGGGAGAAAAAAGAGGATATGATCTGGAAAAGATGACATTGGGTTTTTAATTCTAAAAATGCTTGTTTAGCTGTTCTTGGAAAACCGGAGATAGAGAATTACACACAAAAAGATTCCAAACTGAATATTGCATTCCAAGATCCACTTACACCATATACATTTCCCAATGGAAGCTTTCAAAGTATTCGAGATATTTTCCAAGATGACCTGGAATACAAGCTCTATTACTGGAAAGATCAAAGTTCTGGAAAGGTAAGGTCCAACTCTTTACATATTCTGTAGCTGTGTTATAGCTGCACAATTTGTAGCTCGAGAGCTAACACTTTTGCAGAGAACACTTTCTTGAAATACCTTTTTTTCTTTACAGAAAGATGCAACAACAAAAAGCAACAAATTTGAAGTAAGCATTGACAGCACAAAGAACTACTGCTTCTACATCCAGGGAATCATCCCCTCCCGCAGAGAAAACCGTAATGGTCAAGAAAGCATGGTGCTTTGTACCAGTGTAGGAAGAAATATCTTGGATGGTATGTATCTGGTGATGTTTGTCATAAAGTCTTCAGCATTCTAACAAAAAAAACCCACTTCAATTCTGAGTTCATTGTTATACTTTAAATTGTGATGTCTAAGTTGTTGAATTATTTACTTTACTGTATAAGTGAGAGGACACAGACCAAACATGGAAACTCATGGAAAGCACACACGATAACTGAGTCCACCATCTTTACCTTTTATGAGTAGGTTTTAGGGTTTTGCCAGACTGTTTTGATTAGTTTTAAATTGTCTGATCACTGAGGTTTCAGATCTCATCACTCGCCTCCAGCTTCGTATTTTGTCTTCTGATTGTTTTCTTCAGATCCTTCCAATAACAGGTCCCATAGTAAGTGCTTGAAGGATCAGCTCTAAAACATAGGAGTGCTGAAAACCTACATACCCATTGGCTTGTAGTTCGCACTGAACTTTAGTTGTTGCCTCAAAAGCAGATGATGAGACTAAGGCTTTCTTTACATTACAAGGTCAGAGGCTGGCAGATTGACTTCTTTACTGGTAAATAAGATAGTGAATGGTCAGTGCATCAGCCAGTCTATTTCCAGATAAACAGTCTGGAGAACACTTCTTCCGTTATAAAGTTATCTATATTTATTAAATAGTATCACATTGCTGTACTGTATCTTTCTTCTCCAGCGGATACGAATATTTGCACTCTTGAGTAGAAAAGCTCTTCTGAATTGGCAAATTAGCTCTCTCAAATTAACTTTCTTATCTAGATATATATTTTTGCTTATCACAGTAGTTGAATTCTAGTAAACTACAAGTTGAATAGAAATAATTTCTGTTGGTCTTTTCTAGCTTCTAACCTAGAGTAAATTTCTACTTGGACTTAGTTTCACAGAAATAATACAGGGGTAGGGGGAATGGTTTGACTTATTCTTGTGGTGGTAGCATGGCATTTTAGTGCAGTAACTAAACTAGATTAAAACCTATTGTGAACCAGGTGAGATAAAGCTTTACCTCAGTTCAGTAAACTCATGTTCAAATGAATTCAGCTCAGACTGAGGTGATCACTCAATTTCTGTGATACAGAACATGTTTTTTAGTTCAGTGGAGTGTGTTCTGAGTATTTGTAGCACTGTGACATTGTGGCTTCTGATAGCTGAATCTTGGAATTTTTTCCTCCCCTACAGAATACGGAGCAGAAGTCTTTATCATCATAGCAGTGATAGCAATTGCAGTCATCACTCTTGCCATTGTCCTGTCGGTGATCCTGTGTAAACGCAAGAAAGCAAAAGCTGCAAGAGAAAAGGAACCGCTTAATGGTGTCTAAGGAAAAATGATTGTGGACACTAGTGGCAGTTTCAAAGCAAAAGAAAAACCCCAAAACCCCAAACCTAACAAAAACATAAGTTGGGTAATTGAGTGGAGCCTTTTAGCCTCTCTGACACAGGCATTTTGAAGCCCAAACATTATGTGGATCCAAACATCTGTTAGACAGTCACAGATGAAAAATCCAGATATCGGGATGCTCCTGCATGGCTGGAGACTGGAAGAGTATCCCAGTGATCTGCTACATTATCCTAACCCTGCCCATGTGCTCTTCCCGAGCTCCTTCCATCATCCTGTCTGAAACAGGATTCTGAACTACATGGACCTTTGACTTGACCAGGTACAGCCATTCTGAAAGTATGGCCTTACTGAGCCAGAAGATTTATGGTACTTGTGAGGGGAAAAAAACACTACTTTTGAAAATTATGTGTCCTTTACCTAACTGAAAGGAATGTCTCTCTGTTTCTATGAAACAAAACTTGTATTTATCTGACTTTCTTTTTAGCATTATTAACTGGTGAAATGATCTGTTAGTTCAGATGTGACAAAGATGCTACTATTATTTCTGCACTTCTTGGGTAAAGTTAACTTGGCCTGTTTATCTTTGGGTATAGAAAATCAAAGGTAAACAAACTGAAACTACTGTACAGGCAACTTGTAAGGAACATCCTTGAAGTAGGCAGCTGCTATCCATCTGGAGAGCATATCCGGATTACACTACACCTCGAATTATACAGACAGGGTAGTCTGATGGTTCCAAGCAAGTGTCAGAACAAACACTTTGCAGTTTTTGAGTCGGTAGTAACTCACTCCATGCAAGCACTGAGTAGGTAGCAGTATTTACTGCATTCTGAACATTAATTGAACGTGTGGTGAATGAATAGTTTATGTGGTATAGATTCAAATCATCTTGGTGATGGGATCTGAAGGTACCTGTTGCTTTTACTATTTTAATATTTATTTTATAAGTGGGAATCTAATTTTTATACTGGTGATATCTGTATTTATGACGGTAATTTATACTTTTCTAGTGAAATAAAGGTGACTGGGAAAACAAGACTTTCTTTTCTTTTTATTAAGTGAAACACATTATTCATTCCAGAACAAAATTAAAATTACATTTAGGAAAACTTATTTTGCAAGCTGCCAGAAGTCTAACCACGACTCTGCAAGTTAGACAGCCGGGGCACAGATTACAAACTGATGAAAGGTTTTGGAGAGTCCCGAGTTGTTTATCAGCTGTCTACTTATGTGAGCAATTATTTAGCATTTGCACTCACAGTTTCTCATTCTAATGGAAAGCGTATTAGACATCTCTTTGGATGTATCACGTAGGGATTCCCACAGTGGTGTCTGTACCACTCATGGTACTAATGTTCATTCAAGGCATCACGGGGCCTGGCCCAGAGGTGAGAGCTGCTGCAGCTGATGTTGGTATCCACTGCTGCTGCCGATGATGGTGATGGGCATACAATAAAAATATATAAAAATCAGGAAAATGGAAAAAAAAGACATCTTGTAGTTAGCACTAATTGTCTGTAGAGCTGAAAGTTTTATATGCGTCTTAGAAGAAGATACCATTGCATTTATGAGAAGGAATAACAAATTAATATCCAGATCTACCAATTTTTAAAGGATTTTATTTTCTGTTTTTCAGCCCTACTGTATTATAGAGATATTCTTTGATTATGGATTAAGACTCCTGTGAACGTGCGAGTGTAGTTCATGGATGTTTTCTTTGTTCTTTAATTCCCTTTCTTGCAGAGGGGAAAAAACCCAAACACTACCATCCCCTACAAAAAAAAACCCTGTTTACTTATTATTGTGCAATAAATTCTTAATGCATTTTCTGCTGATGCCTAAGCCTTGTATGGAGGAGGAATCTTACAACAGCAATCAAAAACATGAGACAGATTGGGGGAGTACGTTTTAAAACATTCCAAAGTTGTCATCATTACTTCCCTTCCCTGTGCTTCTGCTTCCTCGGCTTCATTTGGTGCCAAGCTCAGGAAGGGAAGAGCTCCAGGAAAAGGAAAGCCTGGAGGATACAGCATAGCATTCATTACACTAGACCATGCACTTGATTGTCATAAGCTACACAGAATGATGGTATAATCACACTTCATTGCTTAAGAGATTTTTGGTTTGTTCTGAATGTGAAGGCTGTTTTTATTGAAAGAGAGAGAGAGAGAAAGAAAGAAAGAACACCCGTAGAGATGCAAACAAATGCCTTAAATGGTGTGAGTGACCCAGTACTGCACAAGTTCTGGAAACCTGACGCGTTTCTGTTCCCTAGCTGCAGTATGTTATCATCCAACAATGCTGAGTAACCAGAGTCACGGGGCTCACAGATCCTATTTCAGAAAGGGTTTTTGCTGTTTGTGGAGACTGTTGAGAAAGGGGCTTTAATTGCAAACTTCCGGAAGTATTATCCCTTGGGCCAGCGTACTGAGCCCACGCAAAACATTTTATGCACAGATTTAACCTTCTCAGAGTATCAGGGCGGGCAAAAGGAGCTGTTGAATAAAGGTGTTGTCACTAGGAAGAAAGATCAGATCCTATGTACACCATATATGTAGCCACGCAGCACTGTAGCCACGTAAGACTGAGCCAGCCACCCAGGGAATCGATGTGAGAAAGGGAAGGCTTTCCAGCATCCCTAAGCTCCCTGGTGTATCTTCTAAGCAGGTTTCCATAAGCAAGTGTGTGTCTGTTGATGGTCCCTATTCCCTTATTCACACTTTGTTGCAGAAAAAAGTATCCAACTATTTCACAAGGAGGAAAACACTTGCACAGTTCCTGGACACAGCACTTGTGTTCTCTCCTCCAAATGAATGTATAACATTGGATACTGTAATGAGCCACTTTCATTTTATACTACTGTTTTAAAAACACTCTTCTGTGCCAGAGTGAATAAAGGCTGGTACTGTTTTGCTACTTTTCTGCCAGCCCTAGCAGCATTACAGACAATAAAATTACTTAAAATGAACAACCATACAGGACTTCATAAATGTACGTATGATAGATATGGCAGCAAACAGCTTAGCCAGTCTATTTCCAGCAGACTCAGCTTTCCACAGTGAGAAGGCTGCTGCTGAGAGGCATGTAATGATAAGAACGTGATTATAAGCTTAACTTGGATCACTAGTTATGTGGCAAGTCAGGACAAAGGGTTTATGCATTAAGTAAGTGAGAATAAACAGCTGTGATAGATTACCTTCTTGGTTCAGTCTTGTAACACTGTTTATTTTGCAGGTTAGTAGTCATTGCTACACAGTTCGTAAACACAGGAGCGAGTGGGCTTTTGGCAGTACCAGGCCCAAAAGTCATTTGAGCAGTCTTCTGATTACGCAGTATTTATCCACAGACAAGTAACCGCGCTTTCTGTGGCCCATGTTTGTCACCGAGGGAGAGAGAAGACCTGGTACAGGAAAACCAAAAAAGAACAACCTGCTAGACAGGACAGAAGCAGGAACTGGCCGGCTGAAAAGCTTTCCACAGCCATTAGGTGTGGTGTTATTCCCCATGGCATGTGCTCTCTCACACAGTACGCCCATTCCTTGAACAAAAAGAAACCGTCACCGAAAGCCGCCCTTCCCTTATTTGCTGGTGCGCGTCCTCCAGCCCTCTACAGCAGGACACTTAAAAAGCTCAGGGCGTAATGGCCAGGACAAATGCGCTGCAAACCTCCTCTTCCTTCCACCTTGTGATGAGAAACCTTCCCAGTAGCGAGGTCCTTCTACTTCTGGCTCTCATTGAGCCCATAAGGCCCATTTCAGTAGCTCCTAAAAGAACCCAGAAGAAACATCTGTAATTCCCTGTAATTCCTCAGCCTCTAACTGTAGCTGAATTGGGCAGGTTCATAGGATGATTTGCCTCAGGTGATTTTGTCCAGTAAAACCTGCCAGTACCTGGGAATACCAACACAGTCACGTTTGCTGCCTTCAGGGCTTTGACAGCCAGGTCCTATCTCATATGTCCAATGCAGCTACTGTGCCTGTTTCGCATCTTGTCAAAATTTGTGCCCTATTAGTGACATACTTCAGTGATTTACTTCTTCTGTGAGAAGCTCACAACATTTCTGCTCCTTGCTTGCCATCTCCTTTGTTGACATTTCCATTCTTCTCCCCAATTGCCTACTCATTCCCATTACCTGTACTTCCCCAGAGATGAACCCACGGCCTCATTTCTGCTAACGGCTGGTCAGGATCTCATTTAAATGAGAACATAGCACCTGAATAAATAGATATCCCTTAATCAGCAATCAAGACTATTAGTAGCGTGGCAGTATTGTTTTACTCCGTACAGCTTCCTTCAGTCACCATAACTGGATCAATAACTTCCAGAACATTCACTGGTACTGCTTTGAGTGCTTTTCTCAGTGCACCTCATCATCTCTAAATATTAATGTTGTTTAAACTAGCAATGAAGCTGTTAATCTGAACTCAGCAATATTCACAGTTCCAGATCCGTTATCCTCACTGATGCATTAGGGTTTTTCAAATTTTCTGCCGTATTACTTTGAGAAATATTTGAATAGCAAATTACTCAGACATTGTTATATTCACAAAACTGCTTCATCAAGAGGTTTAATTAAAAACCTCCTTCCTCTGAACAGAGAAATGTTTTCCCAATGAGATCACATGATAATTTTTTAATTAGTTCTTCAGTAATCACATAACTCAATTAAAAAGCTAGTGCAATGAAAGAGCTGGAATGACAAGTGAGACTTTAAAATCTACTCCAATAAAACGCTCTCATCATTCCAGCAAAGAAGGTGTCGTGCTTTCAGTTTTAGTTTTTCTTCAAAGAGTGCATCTTTGATTGAGACAGGTTTTCCCTCTGCTGCCTTCACACTTTACCTTCTGTTCACATCAGATACATACGTCTCCACAGAGGTGACAGTCAATCTGATTTCCCATTTTTTTACTTTATTCATAACACCATCATTCGCTTCCAGAAAGCATCAAGGGTGCAGCCATACCATCGTGTGTCACCGCT